ACTATTTTATATAGTTGAATTCCAGCGATATAACCTGTCGAGGTTTCTATTAATCACTCGACAGACTTACCAATTGCATTATATATCAGATCTCATCAACTATTTTTAATTGGTGCTATTTTACAAACATAACGAAACAAAACAGAACAAAAGAAAGAAAACTATCGTCTCTGGAACTATTACTAGAGTGCTATGTTTATAAAGTAAGTGCTGTACACAAGAAAGCGAAATATTTCTCGCGCGCATGATTTTTACTATGAAATCAGGTCAACTTAACAGTTACCGAAAGCGCCGCATATACAAAACTGACATACGTTTTCGATTTTCATAATAAATTGACAGTCTTTTTCATACAAATTTCATCATAAATTTTACATTACAAGCTTGCTTCCTTCATGAAATGATGATGTCGACACTACGGCTGAGACCAAAGTCAGTAAGTTGGCATACAATGGGACACTCTTCGTAAGCCTTGGCCATGGCTTTGTCATCACCGGCAACATCATCCAAATGCTGGTTACAAACCAATATGTTACCAGGTTTTAAATCTCGGTGAGCTATATTATGATTGTGCAAATAATCAAGTCCTGCGAGTATATCTTTAACACATACTGGCAACAAATTAGCAACTGACGAAAACTCGAACTCAGTGTCGACAAATTGAAGAAAGTCAGCGAGAGAACTCACACTTTTCTCAACTCCGAAAAAGCCAAAATCGAATCTTGAGTACTGCATCATTATAGAGTGCGGCTCACTACAAAATCCTAAAAATTTGCTTATATTGCGGTGTCCTTTAACGCTATTCAAAATCTTCGCCTCTTTCACGAAGCGCGTCTGTGAGTCGATAGAGACGCTTTTAAGTTTCTTTACAACGACATTTTGTGCGGTACCAGCGTGTTTAGCTAGATACACAGAACCGAAACTGCCAGATCCAAGCTTTTTCTGTTTCGCTATACTTGCCCAATCAAATCTCGGTAGCTCTAAATCCTTCTTTTGTTTCGGCACAAGTTTTGGGAGCTTAAAGCTCCCCTCCATTCTGAAATAACGTCTACAATCACACGAGACGAAGCTATAAAAATATATTCCCTACATGACAGCGGCACATGCCAAAATATGTAGTATCATTTTGGTCGGAAGGTTTTAGAATTCGGGTGTCAACTCACACATTAAAAGAAGCACGTGTTGGCATAACCATAGCAACGGAGATAAAATGTCGAAATGCGGCAGAGCACACTTGCCATAAATAGGTGTTATGTTACCAATCTCCTCCGCAGAGGCTTTGTGTTTTGTTTTGGGTTTTTTCGAAATTTTCCCCTATGCAGGCTAGGGGAAAATTATAGGAGAATGTTATGTTACGGTAATATATAAACCTTAATAGGGAGTGATTTGATCTTTAATTTACGATTACAAATTTTGACTCCGCGTTTTACAAATTTTGACTCCGCGTTTTACAAATTTTGACTCCGCGTTTTACAAATTTTGACTCCGCGTTTTACAAATTTTGACTCCGCGTTTTACAAATTTTGACTCCGCGTTTTACAAATTTTTGACTCCGCGTTTTACAAATCCACTCCACTCCGCGTTTTACAAATCCACTCCACTCCGCGTTTTACAACATGCCCTGACACAAAATCTGTCTAGACTGTGGGACGCCCACATGATATTTTTAGACACACATGCAATATGATTGACAAGTGTTGTAGATTTCGTTACACAAAAAATTTATATTCTCATGAACATGTCCGCTGAGTGTGCATTTTGCTTTTTAATTAAACTTAAAAATTCAAGGTACTTTTATCTAATTAAGAGTCAGTTTCTTTATTTAACCGAACAGCAAACAAAGATTTATATTAATTAGTCAGTTCTGTGCACGCCTTGACTGCCAAGCTTTCTCAAGGTCTCAACTTGCTGGACGCGGATAAACTCTAAAACGACTAACGGGCTAACAACAGCAACAATTAAATTCTCAATCGTACCACGAAGAAGGCGATGTAGCTCAGGAAACAACGCCGGTAGGACCTGATATTAAAAATAAGACTTTTGCCGGCGAAGCCAGTTGGCAGAACATCTTGGCTGTCAACAACAAGCTTTCGAATACATGACTAGTTTGGCTGTTCTTTCAGCGTCGTGTGTGTCCAAAATTCGTCAAAGATTTTGATAAAGCCCTTTCAAAATACTGTTTGTTTGATTTATTTTCTGCCATATAAAAGCGTAAAAGAAAAGAAATTCGAAGAAATTGATAATGGAATTTGTTACGTGCGTTCAGTGTGACCAGGTTTTTTCAGGGGTAATTACCACATCCGGCTGCATAAAATTACTACATTGGGTCAAAAATTACCACGGTACCATATTTTCCCCAAAAATGTTGGCGAGGGGGGGGAGGGCAAAAAATTTTCCCAGACAACAAAATTTTTGGGACAACCACCAGTTAAATTAAGGTTCAAATTTTAAATTAAACACCAGTTAAATTAAGGTTTTTACCCAAAATCTGTAAAATTTAGGTCTGGAAACTTTAAAATGAACGTCAGATGTCTAGAAAAAGTACCAAAATAGCTGACTTAATTGACTTTTTTAGCAATTTTCAGCTTAATAACCACAATTCCAAAAATTACCGTAGTAATTACCACAAATTTCCAATTATCACAATCGTCCAAAAATGACGAAAAATTACCACGGTAGTAACGAAATTACCACATCTGGTCACACTGCGTGCGTTTGACCTTTATATAATTGTCGCCTTGAGCGAGCTATTTTTAAAACTGTTGTTTATGTGAACTTGCAACCAATCAAAATCCTTCATGATGCTTGATCAATTACCAATCAGATTTCCCGTCCACCAGGTGGACGGGAATCCCACAGTTTAGATAGGTTTTGTGTCAGGCCTAACCTGAAGTTCAGGCCCTATCACAGAATAGGGCCTGACACAAAACCTATCTAAACTGTGTGATTCCCGTCCACCTGGTGGACGGGAAATTTGATTGGTTGATCAGCATCATGAAGGATTTCGATTGGTTGCAAGTTCACATAAACAACAGTTTTAAAAATAGCTCGGTCAAGGCGAGAATTAATATAAAGGTCAAACGCACGTAACAAATTCCATTATCGATTTCTTCGAATTTCTTTTCTTTTATGCTTTATGGCAAAAAATAAATCAAACAAACAGTATTTTGAAAGGGTTTCATCAAAATCTTTGACGAATTTTGGACACACACGACGCTGAAAGAACAGCCAAACTAGTCATGTATTCAAAAGCTTGTTGTTGACAGCCAAGATGTTCTGCCGAACTGGCTTCGCCGGCAAAAGTCTTATTTTTAATATCAGGTCCTACCGGCGTTGTTTTCTGAGCTACATCGCCTTCTTCGTGGTATGATTGAGAATTTATTTATTGCTGTTATTAGCCTGTTAGTCGTTAGAGTATATCCGCGTCCAGCAACCTAAGTTGAGACCTTGAGAAAGCTTGGCAGTCAAGCCGTGCACAGAACTGATTAATTAAATCTTTGTTTGCTGTTCACCTGTTCGGTTAAATAGAGAAACTGACTCTTAATTATATAAAAGTACCTTGAATTTTTAAAGGTGCTCTACAGTCCGTATGTAAACAAAGCCTTTGTTTACATTTTTGTGTCCAAAATATTGAGCTTTATTCGACAACTATTTATATTTTCAAGCTTCTAGAGTATAATAAATGATCAAGAAACAATAATCAGGCTTTTCAAGAACCCAAAACATAGTTAAACTGTTTGTATCATAAAAAGTGGGCTCCTTTGTGCACATGCGCAGATCGGACTGTAGATCACCTTTAAGTTTAATTAAAAAGCAAAATGCTCTGGCGCTATGCGGACTAGCCTCCTCCGCAGGCCTCTCTATGGGTTCTAGCCTGCGAATGGGTTTTGAAAAAAAAATTTCTGGGAGAGAGGCCTGCCATAAATCGAACAAAATGGACGTGTCAATGTACCTTGTGGCCGTGTCAATGTACCCCACCCCCTAAGTAGGCTTTTGACCCTAATTATATATTCAGTTTGAAATCTTCAGGCGAGGAGCGAAGCTTGCGAGTATTAACTTTAAAAATGTTTTAAAATGCATCGAAATATTCGAGTTATACGAAAATTAGTTGGTCAATTGAAAGGATTATATATCGCAATGTCTCTCGCGGTCTAAAAACGACGTGCAAATTTAATTGAATCGCTCGCTCGAAGCAGCCAAATGTTTACAATGTATCAATTGTTCAGCCGAGGAACTACAATTTGAGGAAATTATCTGGCATAATTTCGAACACAAAACGAAGAATGGAACGATACGAAAGGTATAATTTGTTTAATAAAGGAATTATATTAAATTGTATTGTTTTCTGGAATATTATTTTGGCATGTTTATTTATATGAAGGGGTTGACATTTTGATTATATTTTACTAATTTTAGTCAAATCATCAGACATTTGGCAACATGTTAAGTGAATTGAAATATAAAAGGAAAAGATCTTTCTGTTGAAGCAACCATTTCAATAAGTGAGGAGAGATAACAACTTGGAAATATCAACTACAAAAATTTGATTACAACAAAAGCCTACAAAAATCAAGATTTTGTTGGCATCTTAAGCCTGGTTTACATATGCCTGCATTATCATTGTTTACAGCTGTTGATGCATACATTCTTTTGTGAATTATTTAGTTGAACTTTTAACGACAATAGCCCATCAACAAACAGCAGGTATATGTGAACCAGGCTTCACTTGGTTAAATAGTTAATTGGAACTCACCCCCTTAATTAATATCATGTGAATATGAAATTAGAAATATGAAAAATTGAAATATTGAAATTAGAAATATGAAAAAATTCAATGAACAGCAGTTTTTACAAGACCTAGGAACTCAAACATGGGAACATGTCTATTTTTTTGCAGACAATCCTGACACTATGTGGGAAATTTGGAAACAACTTTTCTTACAAGTCCTAGATAAACATGCCCCCAATGAAAACAAAAAAACAAAATCTAAAAAAAATCCTTGGATTACTAGTCATATAAAAAAATTAATAATTGCAAGAGATAATTTGAAAAGAAAAGCAATTATCACTAAACTTGAAACAGATTGGGATAACTATAAAAAAGCCAGAAATGAAACAAACAATCTTCTAAGACAAACCAAAAAGGAATATTATTCCAATAAAATAGCGACTGAAAAGCAAGATCCAAAAGCTGCTTGGAAGACAATTAATACCTTACTTGGTAAACAAAATCAAAGAACTAAAGTAAACGAATTAAACTTAAATGGCATAAAATTAACAAGCCCTGATGAAATTTCTGAGGGCTTCAATACCTTCTTTTCAAATATTGGACCGAATTTAGCCGAAGAAATTAGTACACCAGGATGTCATTCTAAAGACTTCCTTGACAAAACTAATTCTGAATTTACTGCATTCCAGTCAGTTACTGTTAGTCATGTTTGTCTTTTATTACATGAACTGTCTGGTAGCAAAACTACTGGCCTGGATAAAATATCCAGCAAGATAATCAAAATTGCTGCACCATTAATTTCCGATTCATTGACTTACATCTTTAATCAAGCAATAACTTTATGTACTTTTCCACATGAATGGAAAATTGCAAGGGTAATTCCCCTTTTTAAGAATGGCAAACGAAACTTGCCAGGAAATTATCGACCAATTTCTGTGTTGCCAGCCATTAGTAAAATTATGGAACGTATCCTATGTACTCAACTTTATGAGTATTTGAGTGCAAATAACATACTTTCTGAACATCAATTTGGTTTCAGAAAATTTCATTCAACTGCAACAGCTTTACTTGATTGCACAAATGATTGGTACATAAACATGGATAGAAAACTTTTTAATTTGGTTGTATTTGTAGACTTAAAAAAAGCCTTTGATACTGTTGACCATGAGATCTTATTGCAAAAACTAAAACTAGTTGGAATCACAGGAAGTGCATTTCTATTACTCAAATCATACTTAACTGGTCGTACTCAAAGATGTGAAGTCAATGGATCTATTTCAGAGGAAAACGACGTCAAATGTGGTGTACCCCAGGGGTCTATATTGGGGCCACTATTCTTCTTATTCTATATTAATGATCTACCTGCATGTCTGAGTAAAACAAAACCACGGCTGTTTGCTGATGATACAAATATCACAGCAGCTGGAGAATGCTTAACTGATCTTGAAGATGCAGTAAACTCAGATTTAGAAATGCTTCGTAAATGGCTCATGGCAAACAAACTGAGCTTGAATGTGGCGAAAACTGAATTTCAAATTATTGGTACTAAACAGATGCTGAAGAAAGCTTCTGTTCAGCAACTTAAAATTCACATTCAAAACATACCCATAAAGCAGGTTTTTCAATGTAAAACACTAGGTGTGACTGTTGATGAAAATTTGTGTTGGAAGAGCAATACAGATAATATATGTAAAAAGATATCATCTGGAATATACGCTCTTAAAAGCATTAAAGAATATGTTGATCAAAAAACACTCGTTTCCGTATACAATGCTATAATTCAACCATACTTTAGCTACTGTTGTGAAGTTTGGAATATATTTGGTGAAACGCAATCCACGCGTCTCCAAAAACTTCATAACAGAGCTGCTCGTGTAATAGCATGTGTGCCTAATGAGGTAGATCAACAAACTGTCCTAAATATATTAGGATGGGAACCACTCAAGGAACAAAGAGTGAAAGCAAAGACAAAAATAATGTTTAAAACGCTAAATAACATGGGGCCAAATTGTCTCAAAGAATTATTTACTTTCAAAAAAGAAATATTAAACCGCAGTCTTCGTAACAGCTCAAGTACCATACGTTTGCCCAAGCCAAACACAAACAATATGAAAAAGAGTTTCATGTATGATGGAGCTTCCATATGGAACTCTCTTTCAAAAAATATAAGAGAAAGTAATTCGCTCTCAAGTTTTAAAAGAAAAATCGCTACCTATAGCTTATAAAGAAAACCACATCATTGTAAATAGCAAACTTTTTGTATATATTTTAATAATTTTATATTCTGCATGTTAATACTTCCTTATTATTGGAACAATTTGTTAATGTTTTTTACACGCCCATTGTGGAAACCAGCTTCTGCTGACAATGTTAGCGTGGTTAAATAAAGTTTATCATCAATATGCTAAACCCATTAAGTTGCATTGCAACACATGTAACAACCTCTTTCTAATATAGTATATGCCTAGTTGTGTTACACGTACTGGCCACATGACATCCATGATTTGATAAATAAAGAAATTTATGATGTATCTGCATATTCTCTAATTATATGTATCTCCCTTGTTCATGTTTAAATAAAATTGCTCTTGACATATATTTGTTTTAAATATAATAAATCTAGATCAGCATGAATCATGTAAGAGCCTACAATTCCAGGGGCCCACAACAAGTTCTTGTTGTCTCATCGCTTGCCGGCACGCCCCTGCTTTTACTCTGTCTAACATCAGACAATTTTACTATTCCAGGGGAGAGTGCAAACAATGGGCTAATCTAAAGCTTCACAGCTTACAATTAATATGTACCCACCATTGAAAGACTTTTGGGTGGTTAATGTAACAATTAATAGCAAAACATGCAGGGATGGATTTACTGGGGGGGGAGGGTGCACACCCTAGCCCTGGCCAGGGGGTATGTGTGTGCTATTTTTCATGATAAAGCAAAAAGTATTAGAGACAAAATGAGATATTGTACACAGTACACTTGTACCACATGGAGGTTGTTTTGCCAAATTATCAAAATATTACTGTTGCTGTATATTAATGGCGGGCTGCACACATGACGACACAACTCGAGTCACTCGACACCAGAGCTGGCAGAGCACCCCCCTACCAGATCATGCTGGATCCATCCCTGAAAACATGTCTAACACTGGGAAGTTTCGTCAGTGACTGTTTGTATGGTTATAGGGAAATTTGCCTTGCAAAATGGATTTTACCCATGTAAATATTTTGTCTGTGAACTTTGGCAAGCAAAATGGAATGTATGTAATGCCTCCATTGGTTAATTAAGGTCTTCATACATGTTGCACCACATGGAAAACTATTGGATTCTTATTAAATTCCAGTTGTCCTTTCCCTTATGTCTACATTTATACTCACACCCATATATAAAACAGGGCCACTGATTTAAGAAAGCTTTTGCTAATTTTCGCCACATCTGAGACACTCAAGTTTGAAAACTTTGTCTTTGTCCAAGGGATAAATTGCACAGTGTATTCCACAATAAGAAAGCTACCGTATTTACTCGATTGAGCGCCGCCCCCGATTGAGCGCCGCCCCCGATTGAGCGCCGCCCCCGAATGAGCGCCGCATTTGAGATCAAATTTTCTTAAAGAGCGCGCCCCCGAATGAGCGCCGCACTAATTATTTTCAAATGCGGCGCTTAATCGGATCCCTTTCAATGTGACGAATTTACGTCTTCTGAAGTCGAGGAGGCAGGCATATCCAACAATGGTTACGATGCAGCAGTTGGACTCGGATCATGAAGAGGACAGTGACATTGATATTTTGTAAACTTGTAAACAGTGTAAAAGCTTTCCGCCATCAAAATGGGGACATTTAGTGACCAAGACATTTAAAACTTGTTTATTTTATTGTTAAAGGGTATGGGCAATGAAAATTGCTTCATCTATCTTATTGCTTCGTCTGAAAGAGCATGAAAAAATAAGCCGATTGGCCGTTTAATGCTCTATTCTATCTCATCTAGTTCCCAAGTTATACGCAAAAATGTGCAAAATATAAATTGCTGATTCAGCACAACGTGTGACGTCATTAGCGGGGTAAGTATGTTTATTGAATAGTAAACTGAAGCATAGCTCAGTTATTATGGGCCCAAATCAAATGAAATTTTGGATACTGATTGTACATGATGAGACGCATGGAAAAACACTTCTAATTTTGTTGCCAAGGTAACAATGTCGTTCCCAGGCCCCTTGCGCTAATTTTATAAAACAGCTTTATTCAAGGTACTGATAAAAATAAAATAATATCAGAAGTATGTGTACGATGCCTATGCATGCCGAAAGTTTACTTGCATGATAATAATTCGAAAATGACATACACATAGAGAAATGCAACTAGTTATTCAAAATCAGTGTAAGGGGCCTGGGAACGACTGTGTTGCCTTGACAACGAAATTAGAAGTATTTTCCCATGCGTCTCATCATGTACTATCTGTATGCAAAATTTCATTTGATTTGAGCCAATAATAACTCAGCTATGCTTTAGTTTACTATTCAATAAAATACTTACCCAGCTTATGACGTCACACATTGTGCTGAATCAGCAATTTATATTTTGCACATTTTTGCGTATAACTTCGGAACCAGATGAGATAGAATAGAGCAGTAAACGGCCAATCGGCTTATTTTTTCATGCTCTTTCAGATGAAGCAATAAAATAGATGAAGCAATTTTCATTGCCCATACCCTTTAAAAGTTCTTGTTATAATTCACAAATAAAATATTTTTTAAAGAGCGCCGCCCCCGATTGAGCGCCGCCCCCGAATGAGCGCCGCATCTGAAGCTCTAAAAATTTAAAGAGCGCCGCGGCGCTCAAACGAGTAAATACGGTATTTGTTTAAGACTTTTATTAATGATTTCCTTCCATACAAGCGTATTAAAACAAGGCAATAGGTGTTTATATATTTAATACGCAGTCACAGATGAAAACAGTTGAATTTACATTTACATATTGACAATTTTCGATCGTTCCTCTTCGTGTTACAATTTCGACTAAATCACTGCACTTTCAGCTTATTATGATATAAAATGTCGTCAACAATTTGAATAGAAATTTGCATAATATCAACGATAAACTTTCAATTAAAACCTTGTCTTGACATGAATCGACGACATTGTGAATTCACTGCTCTGCAAAGTCACTCGTTATCTCTAAACAATCCAAATAAATCGCTGCGTCGGCTTTCGATAACGTACTCAGCTCCTTAGTCAAAGTTCCCTTTGTATTTGCAATGTTGAAGAGCAGGATTATTCGTTAATTTTACAGTTTTACTCGTCTTGTATAAAGCCATCGTGTTGAAAACAAAATTTTCTTCACTCCTTGCCGTAAGCCCTTCCCATAGAATAAAGATCCATGTAGAAGGGCCACTTACGTCGGAAGCTTTGAAGTTTTTGTCCTCGCGCATGTCGCATTACGCATGTTGGCCGCCATTTTCCTAGCCAGTCAATGACATTTTCTGGCCAATAAACACGCTGTACTGGCTGGCTGCTCCGCCTTCTGGCCAGTAAACTGTATATTTTTGCATAAAAAAACGCGGACACGTTGCACCGCTGAGTGGCCCTTCTGTTACTGATCTTTATTCTGTGCCCTTCCTTAGCTTCCTACTCCCGCTAAGTTTGAGTTTGTCGAAATTTGCATGCGCGAGCCGGTATATGGGGCGCCGTTTGTAAAAAAACTCCTTGACATAAACAAACGTGTTTTTGTTGCGATTTAGATACATTTTGCAGTGTTATACACTATTTTTTTGTTATTTACTAAATCGCAAATGCAATGTTATTGTCATTTATTAAATCGCAAGTGCAATGCCATTGTCATTTAATAAATCGCAAGTGCAATGTCATTGTCATTTAATAAATCGCAAGTGCAATGTCATTGTCATTTAATAAATCGCAAGTGCAATGTCATTGTCATTTAATAAATCGCAAGTGCAATGCCGTTGTCATTTAATATATCGCAACGCAATGTCATTTACTAAATCGCAAGTGCAATGTCATTGTCATTTATCTGCTTGCGGGCGCCTTGAGTATGGTCATCGGTTTCTGCTGAAAGAGAGAATTGGATTGGCCGGAATATTTTTAACGGGAAGTCGTCGGAAACAAAATGGCGAGCCGCAACGACAACGATTTGGCGAGGATTATTTCTGAAGCTGTTACGGTCGCTCTCCGCCAGACAAGTAACGAAAGAAATGTAGCAGCGATTAGTACATCAAACAACGAGACACGGGTATGTATTGTAGCAGGGTAATCATTTACGTATCCGAGAATATTTGCATATCCGACGCAGTGAAATATGTAAATCAATGAATGTATTAAAATGGACCAAACCAGCTACAAAAAACCCCGCAAATATATGGTCTGATAATTGGTCTAATAATGTTTTTCTTTGATGATATCCCATCAACTCTACTGTCTGTAAACCTTCTACATCAGTTAAATTGATTAATTCAGTAAAATATACCCATAAGAACATTATAATGTACCCCCCCCCCCTGCTAATAAGCCCCCGCTCAAAGAGCTACAAATAGAAATAAGCCCTCATCCTCTATATTTACTTTCATTCATTGGTATGAAATAGGTAATTGGACAAGTACTGGTGTAAGGCATTGTGTAGCCTAAATAATGAGGACCAGCAGTTCTAACGGTTACCCTTTATTTATTTACTCCGACTCCTGTGATGGTGAACATGTACGCAAAAAAAACAAGGGAAACTACGATTAGATAGTAACTGAATATGAGAATTTTATGTGACACGATGAGGGCGAGCGAGGATATATAAGAGCGAGAGATTGAATTGGAATAGGAAAGGCAACCCTGTACGCGTTTCGACCTAACAGTCTTCTTCAGCAGGGTTTTTTTAAGGGGGGTGTAGATAGAGTTTGCAGAGTGAAACTAGAATGCAGGAGAGTTTGGGAGCACTGAACATATGTGAAACCAGAGAAAACAAATTATTACGAAGTTATAATGATTTACACAATACAAAAATGAAGGTTGAAAGAAAGTGAAAAGGATGAAATTACTGAATATGTTATTAGTAAAATTATCCTACCAAAGGTCTTGTTGTTGCGGGACATTCCAACATTACGTACTTTATTGTTCATCTTTTAACTATATTTTTGGAGCGAAGCAATTTGCTAGTCCGTCCTTTAGGGTAAAACTGACTCAACGGTATAGTGAGTTTGAATGCTTATGATGGAAGGGGTGGAGTAGGATTTATTCAGTACTGAGCATGATCATGTGACTGTAGGTGAATGCATCCAAATAGCCAGTGGCTTGATTGACAGGGATAGGGGCGTGAGGCAATTATTGAATTGTGAGGAAAATTATTGATAACAACGTGCAGGATTTGATATTATATAAAAATTATATATGATTAAACAAAAATATGATTAAACAATAACTGAATTATGTACAAAATATACAACAAAACCCAAAACAAAGATGGTAAATGTAATACGATATGGCCATTGTTAGTTCACAACAGTTCTGGCGTTGATCTTTCCACGCAGAGGATAAGAGTTAATATTTGTATATTGTTATTTTAGTATATAGAACATTAAGAGAACATTAAGAATTTTGGACTAAAACAAGTAACAAAGATAATGTATGAACCACATTGGGAATAAAATTATCATGGAATGTCATGCGCTGACAATTACTGAAAAAACCTCGTAAAACGCGCTAATCAGCATGCAATACTTTGTTTGAAGTTTGAACAAGTATAAAGGACCCAGAACTGGGTAAAGGAATTATTAAAACTTTTGCTATTGACCGTCTAAACATATATTAGGTATGTCCAAGGACCTCAGACTATATATGTCTTTATTGTCAACTGTAGGCGTATGGTGAGGTAGACCACCAAACCAGGCATCTCACCAAACTTTTTCCCACCACCCGCTTCGTCGGGTGAGATGCCTGCGGAGGAGGCTACTGCGGACATGTTCATGAGAATATAAATTTTTTGTGTAACGAAATCTACAACACTTGTCAATCATATTGCATGTGTGTCTAAAAATAACATGTGGGCATCCCACGGTCTAGACAGGTTTTGTGTCAGGCCCTATTTCAAATTAGGGCCTGAACTTCAGGTTATGTCAGGCCCTATTCTGTGATTAGGGCCTGAACTTCAAGTTACATTTTAGGGCTTTCTTTAACACACGGCTTCGTTAGGGAGACAAGACAGTTTATATTGGCAACCGACGTTTTTATACAACAGTCTATTTGTTCGATACGTACACAGGCAACGCGTTTTAATATGTCTCGTTTGATTTAATATGGCAATCAGTTCGCTTGCGTTTCGGATCTTTCGCCCACACGGCTTTGTTTCAAAGCACACTTAATACACAAACGCAGGGCCGTAGCGAGGGGGGGGGGGGGTTAAAACCACCCCCAACTTTTGTAGAATTAACATATTCGGAAAATCGGGTTGGCCATTCGGAAAATTACGGCAATAACAGTATAACAAAATTTTAGTTGTTTAAACAGAAAAAAATATTATAAAATGGTATTGTCAGTATAAACCATTGGTATAAACTGATTCACCAAATCACGGCATTTACATGGATAACGTAAAACAAATCGTAAATCGGTAAATGTTTTTCGGTCTATTACTTCTCAGGGCCGTAGCAGTCGGGGGGAGGGGGGGGGGGGCAGGACTGGGGGCAGCAGCCCTTACAATAATTTGCTGATAATCATTCTTTTTTCAAAATCATGCACACCTTTATCATTTAAATAATATACCTTTAAAATACTGACAATAGACTAGAGGTGTGCATCGGATCGGATTGAACGTTTATAATCCGACAATTGCCTAATGTTTAAAATCCGATCCGAACTCTAATCCGAATCCGATCCGAGTTTTGAAAAAGAATTCCAATCCGATCCGATGAATTCTTTAATAAAATAAATTTCTCATTCAAGTTGAAATAATTGACCAAATAAATATAAAAGCAAGAAATACATGTC